AGCCCCAAGGGATGATCATGGGGCTTCCTGGAGTAAGAGGCGTTTGGTTGGGAGCAGAGCCAATGTGTGGTCTCTCTCCTGTGTCCTGCAGTCTCTTGAGCTAGAGGACCTTCATTAGACCTGGCCCAAGGCCTTAGTCTGACCAGCCTATACCCACTGTTCTCACCATGCCCATCTCCCATTGCAGCCTGTGCTTTGGTCTGAGAAATGACCTCTGAGAGGCTGAATGCCTTAGGCAAAGTCACACAGCAAGTCCTTGCCAAATATCTCAGACCTGCCTCTAAGGCAGAACTGAGCTGCAAGTGGAGAATAGCAAGGGGGCCAGATCTGTTCTGTGGCTGAAGGAACTATTGATTTGCATCTAGAGGAGTGGTGAGATATGCTGAGACAGCTGCAGCTGAGAGCTCTAGTTACCACTGTCTGTCAGCCCAGACTTGGCACCCACCACCTCAGACACGTGTCAAGGAGAGGCCAAGGGCAGCAGAGGAAAGTAGAGGACAGCAGGGCCCAGAGTAGATTCTTGGAGAATCTGGCCTCAATGCTAGTGGGGAAAAGTCTAAGTTGCTCTATGTCTGGCCCTGTCTGATGGGCATGTGACTCAGAACTTGCTGGGGTCAGGCTGCAGCTGTATAATTGCCCTAGGCCTAGGGTGGATGATGTGGTATGGGGCTGGACACACCTGCAGCTTTTGGTTTGCCCCAGAGAGGGAGGGGACAGTTGAGCTCTAATCCTCAGGTAGTTCTGTACCCTGACCTGCATGTTTCCCAGGAGCCATCTTTCTGTTCTTATACCAGTGGGTGAGGACAAAGGCAAACAGGCAGGAATACTGTCCTGAAGTCCTTGATAATGTGCCTTCCCATCCGCTTGCAGAACCCTGCCCCTCTACCCTGCTGCAGCAGCACATGGCAGACCTGCTGCGGCAGGGTTCTGATGTGGCACCCAGCTTCCTCAACAGCGTCCTCAACCAACTCAACTGGGCTTTCTCTGAGTTCATTGGCATGATCCAGGAGGTAGGCCATGGTGGGACCCTGTGGGCCAGGGTGGTAAAGGGACCAAGGTGTGGACCTGGCTTGTAGCCAGGCCTCTGACTGCTGCTTGCCTACCTGTTGGCTGCACAGATTCAGCAGGCTGCTGAACGCCTGGAACGAAACTTTGTGGACAGCAGACAGCTCAAGGTATGTGCCACCTGCTTTGACCTCTCAGTCAGCCTGCTGCGTGTCTTGGAAATGACCATCACACTGGTGCCTGAGATATTCCTTGACTGGGCCCGGCCTACCTCTGAGATGCTGCTGCGGCGTCTTGCACAGGTGTGTCCATCTAGGGCAAGGAGGGTAGGATCCTGGGGATACCCCACTGGTGAGCTTGTCCATGTACCAACAGGCTCCTGCCCCCACAGCTGCTGAATCAGGTGCTGAACCGTGTGACAGCTGAGAGGAACTTGTTTGACCGTGTGGTCACCCTACGACTACCTGGTAAGAACCTAGATGCCCTGCACCCCTGTACAATAGGCCTTGAGTCCTCTGCCAGGAGCATGATGCCCGATTCTCTATTCTGCACCATGACAGCCAGGCTCAGCACCCCGAACCCAGCTTGGCCCTTCTGTAGAGTGGACAGAGAGAAGGGTTGATGGCATCAGTCAGGCCTGGAGCCTCTGCCACAGGAGCATGAGGGAGGTTCATTTTCTTCCTTCCCTCCCCTTAGGCCTAGAAAGTGTGGACCACTACCCTATCCTTGTGGCAGTGACAGGCATCCTGGTACAGCTCCTGGTGCGTGGTCAAGCCTCAGAGTAAGTGTTGGAGACTATGGGCTCCCATGGGAGCTGGGCAGGACCTCCCTGTACCCCAGTTTCCTTATCTTATAAATGGGCCTCACTATCAGGTTTTAAGGTAGAGGGAAGGTGGTGAGATGTAAACTGCTTAAGTAGGTGACAGTGGCAGCTGCTCTGGGTTGAAGAATCAAGGACCCAAGCAGGACAAAGTGCCCTGGCTTGTGGCCATTCCTCAGGTAGCAGTGGGGGTATAGGGCAGACCATCCTTTAATGGCCAGGGCAACACTGCTAGATCAAGAGCCAAGCACATTACAATGCTGCCTGTCAGTGAAGGCCTCAATGAGCATGGATTACCTTTATTACAAAATTCCATTAACAGCAGGGTCCAAGACAGCCATGGGGACTCGTAGCTCAGCCCCCACACCTGAGGGGCTCCCAGAACCCCTTCCCTGCCTCTCTGCAGTGGGAGTGGTGAGGTGCACATGAAGCCAGGGCACCGCCTCAAACCATTAGGCTGAGAACAGTGCCAGCCTTTAAAAGGCTCCTGCCCTCAGGGACATCAAGTTCCATCTGGGCCCTCTCAGCTTGGCCTTGCTTGCCAGGCTTTTTACTGCTGTGCCGTGAGGCCATGGAATGAACTTTGCCTTGAAATGACTGATGGAGAAAGCAGGGCCACTGTGGCTGGGGCTCAGGCCAGGTCCCCAGGGGTTCTCCTTCCTAATGCCTGCCCACCAGACTGTGCATGCAGTTGTGAAGCTTTCATAAGGTTGGCTGCTGGTAGTTGGGGGAGTGCTGTGTCATCAGAGGGAGGATGTTTCTTCCTTTCTCCAGGAACACGGGCTGGAGTTGAGCTCTCCATCATTTCCCCTGTGAGACCCCTGCCCCAGGTATGGGAAGGGGAAGGTGGTGTGCTTTGACTGTTCTGTATCACTCCTTCATATCTGCTTCAGCCACTGAAGGGGTTCCTAGGGCTCTAATGTAAGAGCTTTTCCAGATGGACTTGGTCCCCCATCCTTAAGGGACATTGGGACAGTAGGAGGTCCCAGGAAAGGAAGACACTAGCAGGTTCTGCTGGGGTCTGGGGCCTTGGGGACCCATGCTAGGCAGAGCAGGAGGAAATTAAGAGACTCTGATTCTTCTATCTATGAATAGGGCCATTGTGGTTCAGGTAAGAACCACAAAGGAAGCTGGCGGACCAGGTACAATGCTTCCCACTAACACCTGGCAGTTCTCAGTATGGTAGCAGGGAACAGAGCAAGCAGCAGGAGGGTCATGGCCTGAGTGGAGGGCACTGGGCAGCCTAGGTCATCATGAGACCTTCTGAGCCTGTGGAGCTAGCAGATTCAGAGCCAGCCATGAACCGTAGGCCCATGGTATTGCTCAGATCGAAGTCCTCAGCTACAGCCAGCTGCACACGCCCGTTGAGTCCTCTCCTGCCAGGCTCCAGGAAGACCACATGCTTGTGGACACTGGTCTTGCGGCTGGGTGCATCTGGTGGCGTGGCACTGAGCACTGAGGATTGTGCACTCAGCTCCTGGAGTGAACTGGGTGCCCGGGGCCAGCGGCGACTTCGACAGGCTTGGTGACAGCAGCGGAAGCAACCGTGGCAGGGTGGTGCAAACAAGTATAGCAGCACCAGTACCAGGCCCACTGCGCAGCCCAGTAGTGTGGTGAAGCCTGTGTTGAAAGCCTCAGGCTCCAGGTGTGGGAAGTGCACACTCACATTGTACTCAAGTGTCTGGTTGTGGTGCAGGTGGGGCCCAGTGGCCAGGCACACGAAGACACCAGCATGCTGCTCCTGCACTTTGCCTATAGCTAAGCTGCCATCCGCCAGCACTGCAATGCTGCCATCTCGGGATCCTGGTGCTACAAGCAGTTCGTGCTTAGGTGAAACCCAGGCAATGTGCACAGCTGGGGCGCTGGTGTTGCAGTAAAGCCTCAGGGACCGACCCACCTGTGCATGCAGCTGCTCTTCAGGCTGCTCTAGGCTGGTAGCTGGGGCAGCTGAGCAGTTCTCAAAGACACGGCTGTGCTCAAAGAAGCGCACGCGGGATGTGGGTACCTTAAAGGCCAGGCACGTGTACTCACGCGCAAAGTCTCGCACCGCACTTAGGCCCCGCTGGTGCCAGCGCTGCAGCAGGTGGTAGAGTCGGCAGTTGCAGGGCAACGGGTTATTATGCAAGTAGAGGCCATTCTTGAGGAAGACTGGCAGTGTGGCCAGCTCAGGGACAGAGACACGTCCCAGCCGGTTGGAGGAGAGGTCCAGGGTGCGCAGGTGGATCGCACCCAGACCGTGCAAGTGGTTGAAAGAGAAGGTCATGAGTTCGTTGCAGCCCAGATAGAGGCGGCTGAGTGCACTCAGGCTGTGGAAGGCATGCTCATCCAAGTGTGCTAGGCGGTTATTGAACAGAAACAGCATCTCCAGTGCCTCAAGTCCATCAAGGTCGTGGGGGCCAAGTGCCCGCAATGCATTAGATGATAGGTCAAGGAGTTTTAGGCCGCTGGCATTATTGAAGACTCCTTGACCCAACGCATCCAGTTCATTGTGGCCTAGGCGCAGGGCGCGCAGCCGGGAGAGGGGTGCCAGCCAACCGGGGCGCAGGCGCTGGAGTGCGTTGTGGCTCAGGTCGAGTTCAGCAGCAGCTGCAGGTAACGTGGCTGGCACGTCCTGCAACCCCAGGCCTGCGCAGATCAGCAGATCAGCAGCACAGACACATTTGCTGGGGCAGTTGTGGGGCACAGCGGGCAGAAAGCCCTCAGGGTCTCGGGTGCCTAACGTGGCGACCGGCAGCATGCACAGCAGGGCACCCAGCAGCCCTAGCCAGGCCATGACGGCGACCATCAAGAATGAGGGAAGCCTTGTGCGGGTCACAGATCCAGGACTCACCCACTCTTGTTCTGGCCCAACAAGCGTGGTGCCGGATGGTCCACGGCCGAGGAGGCACAATGCTGGCTTTACTCAGCTCAGATGGACGTTGCAGTCAGCTCTGTCTCCCCTTGCTTTCTCCCAGCACTTTCCTGGTCGACTTCTAAATAGTCGCTTACAGAAGCCGGCCCAGGGGGCGGGGCATCGGGCTTCTATTGGCTCCCGCTGCAAGGGGCGGGGAAATCACATCCCCTGCCGCTTAAGAACCCCTATGGCCACCAGGGGGGGTATGAATTCACTTCCAATACCCAGCCTTCCCTTAGCCAACAAACCAGAAGAGTAAAAGGGGCAGCCAGGGGAGAATGGTAAACTGCTCCTAATGTTCTTTATTTGAAGGATTATTGTATCATGGGGCAGGTGGACTTTAGGTGTTTTATGGTAGCCCACAAAACTGGTACCTGGGCTGCATGTGATTTCACTGAGACCCCCCAGGACTTAGAAGGTTGCGGCTGGGAGGTGGAAATAAAGGTATTAATGCAATTAGGTTTGGACGGTCACACAACCCCAGGAGTCCCCCACTGTTCTGATTACACTATATACCCTTCCCTACCTAGGACAGAGAGAGCCACATCAGTGCTTTTGGCTGACCCCTGCTTCCAGCTCCGATCCATATGCTATCTTCTGGGGCAGCCAGAGCCCCCAGCACCTGGCACTGTCCTGCCTGCCCCAGACCGGAAGCGCTTCTCCCTGCAGAGCTGTAAGTGGGCCAGGGGTGGTTAAGGGAAAAAAGATCTGGGACTGTCTGAAGTCAGGACCTCCAAGAACAGCAAATCCCCAGCCTGGGATTATTCAAAAGGCACCAGATTCTAGGCTACATCTGGCCTGACACACCTACCACTATCCCAGATACTGATTATATCAATGCTGAGGAGCTGGCACAAGTGGAGCAGATGCTGACACATCTGACCTTTGCATCTGCCCAGGCAGCAGCTGCATCCCTGGTGAGTGGGACCACAGCACATCCCATGCTACTTGAATACATGTGTGCACACCAATATAGGCATAGCATATCCAACTACCCTTCACTTCCCTCCCTGCAGCCCACCAGTGAGGAAGATCTCTGCCCAATCTGTTACGCCCACCCCATCTCTGCTGTGTTCCAGCCCTGTGGACACAAGTCCTGCAAGTAAGTGGGGCCCCATGGGCTTTGGGAAGGGGCAGTAGGAACATCCAAGACAGTCTTTATCCCCTCCCCGTTGCAGAGCCTGCATCAACCAGCACCTGATGAACAACAAGGATTGCTTCTTCTGCAAAGCCACCATCGTGTCTGTAGAGGACTGGGACAAGGCAGCTAATACAAGCACCACCTCCTCAGCTGCCTAGGCCTGCCAAACCTCCACCTGCAAACCCAGACCCAGGCAGAGACCTATTTATGAGCTTCCCTTACCCTGTTCCCTATCACCCCCACCACATCCAACCTCTTTGTCTGTGTGTAGCCCCATTGGTAGGAGCCTGGCCGTGGCCCTAATAATGTCTGGGTTTGACTTTCAATCAGGGCCACAGTAAACATTAAATTATTATTCCATACAGCCCTGGCCTGGCCCTTTTTAAGGGAGTGGGGTTTGTGGGGTGTGGCCCAGCAGGGATTCTGCTACTTTATGTCCAAGTGAGAAGGCAGGTGTTCAGCAGCTTCATCCTCATCCAATCCTCCCCAGACAAATAGCACCAAGTCCAGGGCCTTTTGTGTGTCAAGCCAGTGCTCCTCTTGCTGATGGGGAAATACGGGTTCAGCCAGCCCCAGGCATCCCCTCACATAATGATACGAGGCTCTGGCACTGATTCACCAATAGACTTGTGGGGCAGCACACTGGCTCCGTTGAGGTAGAGCTCGTCGTTAACTATAACATCCTCGCCCAGCACAGTTACGTTCTCCATACGCACCTGGGTGAGGGGGAATAAGACCTTGTCAGTGAGGCAGATGCATTTTCTGGCCCTCTCCCCATCTGGCCCAGCTCATTGGCTTACCCACTGGCCCACATGGCAGCGCCAGCCCACGATGCATGACTCAAGCCAGGAATGGGAACGTATGTGGGCATCCCGCAGCACTGTGCACCGCCGGATGCACACACCATCCTCCACCACCACACCAGGACCCAGGCTCACATTGGGACCAATGCTGCAGTTCTGGCCAATACGGGCACTTGGATCCTGAGAGCAATGGGGAAAATACAGTTGGGCCATTTGTCCCCTAGGGACTGAAGGGATTAATGATGGGCTGGACAAAGGCCTCACCACAAGAACATTGCCCACAATGCCAGGGCCTGAGCATAATCGCTCAGGTTGCTTCTGCCTCAGTGACTGAAGGAAGAGACACATGCCAGTGAGGAAATCCTTGGGCTGACCGATATCCATCCAGAAGCCTGTAGGGAGGGATGCATCAGGGGCTCAGCCCAGCCACAGACCACCCCCACCCATGACCTCTCTGCCTCACCCTGCAGCTCCATGGCATATAGCTGCCCCTCCTTGGCCATAATGGGGAAGACCTCCTTTTCAATGGACGTAGGCTGCAGCTGTGGGAGTGGGCAGCTTGTGAGCAGGGTCATGGTAGTAATGGCCTGTCCCACCCTAGCCCACCCAGCAGCTGTCTTCTACACACCTGGATGCGTTGCAGCACTGCAGGGCTCAGGATGTACATGCCTGCGTTGATCTTATTGGACACAAATACCTGTGGCTTCTCCACAAACCGGTGAATGCGGCCCGTGTCAGCCTCACATACCACCACACCGTACTTAGAAGGCTCCTCCACCTTGGTCACCTGAATACAGGGGGACTTAGGCCTAGTCCAGTGTTCCTAAACCTTTACACATATGCTGTCCCAAGTTTCAGGGATTCTGTCCCAAATACTTAGAAGATACTGCTTAGCTGTTCTCTTATAAAGAGAAAGATCAAAGGGTGGGGGGGGGGGCAAGGGAAGCTGGGCTGGGATGTTGCAGGGAATGTCAAAGGAGAAGGAAGACCTGGTCTCTTACCAGGATGGAGCCCTCCTGACCATGGTGCTGATGGAATTGCACCATGGCTTGGAAGGGGAAATCACAGATCACGTCGCTGTTGAGGACGAAGAAAGGGTCTGCAGTCTCAGAGAGCAGGTCACGGGCCAATGCCAGGGGCCCAGCTGGGGGAAGGGAGCAGATCACGGCCTTGCTGGGGATCTGAATCCCGCTGGGGATCTGAATCCCTGAATTCAGGCTCAGCAGGTACCACCCTCTTCTGGATGCAAACCCTCCCCAAGGAACCTTCTTGTATCCACTGACCTGTCCCCAAAGGCTCCTCTTCATGAGACATGGAGATTCGGATTCCCAGCTGGAAAGGAGAAGTCACCTCGTCAGGTTCTCCCTCCGGAGCAGGAAGGTGGACCAACGGAACCGGCTAAGAGTCCGTGCCTCACCCTCTGCTCCTGAGTCTTCATTTCCTTCTCCAGCACCTGCGACATGTAGCTCACAGCCAGGATCACGTGATCCACGCCTGCCTGTCGGACAGGATAAAGCCAGCGAACAGGCGGGCTCAGCCGGTAGGTACGGGCACCCCTGACCTTCAGTCGCTAGACGTCCCTCCGCCCAGGACAGACCCCGGGCCTTACCGCAGCAAGGGCCTCCACTTGATGCAGCAGGATGGGCTTATTGCAGAAGTCTACCAGCGGCTTCGGGGTACTCAGCGTTAGTGGCCTCAGCCGAGTTCCATAGCCGCCTACCAAGATCAGTGCCTTCATCTCGCCTGTGGGCGACGGGAGTCAATCCTAGGCTCCAAGGTGCCTGCACCCCGCCTGGCCAACACTGGCCACGAACTACACCCGCTATGTCCTGCCCCACGCCCTTCACCAGTCAGACTGACCAACTCTGGTTTCAATTTGTTCGCCTGGCCTAACCTGACGCCGGCACCCGGCCGCAAGAACACAAGTTACCTAGCGGGCGGTGGACGGCTGGCAGAGTACGCGGACCGCACTAGGCACGTGACCCCAGCGGGCCAATCAGCTGCTGTCTACGTGGCACGGCCGCCAGCGTCGGAGCGCTGGGCGCGGCACTACCAAAGACGTAGCCAATGAGAGCCTGAGGGCGCCAGGCTGCTATGGGGACCCGAAAGAGACTCGCGGGTCACCTGTCTATTGGCGGAACCGAATGCGGAACTGGCGCCAAGGGCGAGGCCTCACTCCCTACGGGAGCTGGATTGGCTGCAGGGTAGACGCTTGTGGCCACGTTTTGCTGTCCAGGGCCCCGCCCCCTGCGCTCCGACCCTGGGAGAAGGGGACTGAAGGAGCGGATCACGCGGATGGAGGTCGTTGGGGGTGCTGGGCTGGGTGGATTCACCCTGGAGCTGCTAAGTTTTCAGAAAGATACGGACAAGCTACAATTTCTAGCGGCTTTATTTTGACATATACGACCTCAGACACAAGCGGGGTGGGCAGCGCTGGGTGTACAGAAAGGGGCGGGCTCGGCCCGGGCACCCCTCCCTTACACGCAAGGTCCAAGGAAATGCAACTGCGCGAGTCGTGGCCGGAGTCACCTGTAGTATCCAGGCGCAGGCCTCGGGTGGCGTGGACAGGTTTAGCTTCCAGGAAAAAGAAGAGCGGAGAGTGATTCCCAGAATGCGAAGTCTTACATGTCCCCGAGGAGCAAAGGAACCACGTCCTTCCCGGGGGTCGCCGTTTTCTTCATTAAAATATTTTTTAAATCGGCACAAACATAACCAAATTGTACAGCCGTAAAGTTAAAAGCAGTCTGCATCTAGGGAACGTGCACATGGCCAGGTGAGCGCGTGAGTAGCAGCTACTAAACTAACCCAGGCCTCTGGCCCTTGGTGGGAATCCCCACACCCATTGCACAGACCCAGAAAAGAGAGGGTGGGGTTCCTGGCAAGTTGCTACATTGGTCCCCTTCCTTTTTAAGCACCACCAGTCCCTTTCCACCCCAACCCTGGAGGCGGGGTCTGGCGTTGGCCCAGCCCAGCGAAAATAACAGAGAAGGGTGACCTGAGCACCCCAACCCATGATCCCCAGTTGCACTTTGGTCCTGATTTGGGGATGGGAAGGCAGGGCCTGGCAGCATTAGGACTCTAGCCTGGGCCAGGCAGAAGGAGCAGTGGCAGAAAATGTGCATGCACAAGCTTGCCACCACCCATCAAATAATGATTGGGTTTCCAGGTACCAAAAGTGCTGATAAGAAAGGCCCTGCCCTGGGGGAGAAGCAGCAAATTCTAGCCCTTCCACTATTTCTAGTGCCAGGAAAACACAATAAATGAGTACAGCCTCCTGTGCTGAGTAGTACCAGAACAGGGTGGCATCTCGTCCCCAGGCAGTGGCCCCAAATCCTTCTTCTTATCCTCCCCACTGCCAGGGAATATCAGCTACACTGACAATGACCTTTCCCTCTGGCTGAAACCACAGAATAGTACAGGAGAGAAGGTGGTTATTACCAGAGACAGGCAAATTTGTGCCTCCCAGCCCCAAGGAATGGGAACCTGCCCACCACTGGCACCAGGGTTGGAGGGCTTAGAGAGATAGGATCCATCAAGGACCCCATTTCAGAGACTACATCTCTAAAGGCCAGGAATCAGGTCATCAGTTACCAAGGCTTCTCACAAACACAGGCCAGCAGGCTTACCTTTAATGCCCAAATAGGGACATGTCAAAAGAGACAATGACAGTGGCCCTAAGCTTATAGGAAAGGGTGCTAACCTTGGCAATGACTGAGTGTGGTGCCTGTCACCTGCTGGCCACCTTGTGTTAGAGGCAGCAAAACTACATGCCGTTAAAAGGTGGCAGCAAGAATGATTAAAACTATGTGAAAGGGCTACCCCTTGAGTGTTGAGGGCCACACTCCAGGCCCATAGGAAGGGTGCCAGGCCAGCAGGGAAATAACCCTAATTCATTCTGGAACCAGGTTTTTTAAAAAAAAAAAAAAAGCACCTGCTGAGGAAGGGCAAAGGGGCAAAAGCTCACCTCAGAAATGAGAGACTATTTTGCTGAGGAAAGTACGAAGGAAATCAATATACTAACAAACAAGGCAACACCCCAAAGGAAGGCTCCCCACAGTATAGGGGCTGGCAGGTGGACAAATGGACAAACTGATGGACCCCAGGATTATTCAGACAAAGCTCTCAATAGCATAATCTGGGCACCTGCATGCACCCAGGGCCCAATGTCTCTAAGAGCAGACAAGCTTAAAATTCTCCCTCACAATGGGCTGCCTCCTTGAGCTTTGCCTGGGGAAGTGAGAGACCCTGAGCAGACCACAGCCCTTGAGTCCTGGGAGGAGCAGCCCGTCCAGAGGCAGCACAGCTGCCCAAACTAGAAGAGGAAGACTCCCACCCACAGTACAAGAACTGCAAATACTGTATGGTCCAGGGCCCCTACAGGCCCCATGGCCTACCAGAACACACTCTTCTCAGCAAACAGAGTGGTGCCCTTCAGTGAGACAGAAGGGGTTGGCCTCCTCAGGCAAGGGGATCTTGTTGAGAGAAGCTGGCTGGGGTTTTGGGCAGAGGAGCAGGTTTATGTGCTAGGTCCATGGAGAAACCAGGCCTGCCTGCTGCCATAAACTGGCTTCAGCTCAGCTTCATGAATGTAGCCCCATGCCAAAATCAGACCCAAGAAACATGGGTCCAGCTGTGTGCAGTCAGATTTCTGATGACAAGGGCATCTGTTCAAGAGCTGGCTGACACCCACAGCACAAAACTGAAAAGCTCCCAAGAGATAGGGACCAATCCCCTCTTATATTGGGGGAACAAAGGATGAGTGGGCATGGAGGGGCCCTGTACCAGTCCAGGGCTTCATTACACAATCAGCAGGACCCTGCAGACACAGACCCTAAAGACCTAGGTAAGAGAAACCAAAGTCCAAGGGCATCTTGTCTCTGCTGCCAAGCCCACCAGGGGCACCTCTTCCTTCCTAAGTCAACCTGGACACAGCAGTCACAGCCACAGAGCTACGGAGCCTGGCCAAGAGGACGCATGTTCTGCCCTCCTTCACTTTATATATATGGATTCCAGGCTACAGCTAAAAACATTTCTTTTAGTTTACACCAAAGAGAAATATAACCCTTTAAAAGCAAGTCTGTGTGTCCTCACGGCAAGTTCAGAGCAATGGTCCCTGCCTGCGGGTGGAGAGGAAGGGGTCTCGGGGGGCCCATAATTGGGCCTACTGGTTCTCGTCCCGCATCTGTTCCATGATGCTGATGAGATTCTCCAGGCCAAACACATAGCCTCTGTCTGGCCCATCATGCACAGTGGGGTCATCCCGGAAGCCTTTGAATGTGCTATGTGCAAAGTCAATCATGCGGACATCCACCTTAGGTGGAGAGGAGTGGCCTGCCTCGGAGGTGGTGCTGCTGGGGCTGGTACTGGGGCTACAGGGTGGTACCACTTCAGGGAGCCCCATGTCCAGGTGCTTAAGACGCAGCTCAGATCGGCACTCCTTGCCATCATAGATGACAAGCAGAGAACTGGAGTAGAAGCGGTAGGAGGCCTGCCGCTCCAGCACAGCTTTGAGGCCCCGCAGTTTGCTCAGAATAGGCTCAAAGAGGTCACGTCGCAGGTCCAGGCCATTGTGCAGGTACTGGTAGAGAGCATTGCGGAAGCCTTCAATGGAGAGCCCACGGCCATAGTACTTGTTCCTGCAGAGGTAATGCCCTGTGTCCAGCTGGTACACCTGAAACCCCAGGAGACAGACAGGGTGAACACCAGGTAAGTCTGATGAACTTGTGGTACCCCGGGCAAGCACCATCTGGAAAGCACTCTATAACCAACCTGCACTTTATTGCTCTTCCAACTGGAAGGAGGCAGGCCACATTCTCTCTAGGTTTTGCCATCATAAGAGCTATGAAAGGCAATTACTGGGCCTATGGTCATCACCTTTAGAGCCCTCCTCCAAGCTGCTCTGGGCCCCCACTAGACTGTAACTAGGAACATACTGCTTAGTTGAACATACTGCTATTAGACAAGGGTCTTACTTGCCCCACTGTGGAGGCAGCAGACTCTCACAGCAGCACTGAACCTGGAACCCAAATCCAGGTCAATAGTTGGGACAGGAGGTCTCAGGGAAGGGGAGAAATGTCTACTGGGAGGACATTTGGTACTGTCCTCTAGGTATGGGCACAACCTAGAATATGCAAGTACAGCACTGAGGCTCTCACAAGTGGTGACTCACCTGCATGCCACAGACCCTAACCCCCAGTGTAGCAGATGTGCTCTGCTCGCACTTCCTCATCTGCCGGGCCGCCTTCTCAGCTGATGCATCATCCCCATGCTGCCGGGTGCCCATCTTCAAGTCCAGAACACAGGGATACTTGAAGTGGTGTACCACGTTCTCAAGCAGGAGAAATTCTGGTCCAAGGTCAAGAATGACAACCACACTCACTGTCTGGTCCATCCAGGACAGCACAAGAAAGGTTTTTTATAAAAAAGAGCATTCTGGTCTAATGCAAAATGTGTTCACCTCACAAACTCTCAGATGTGGGTTTCACACCTCTCAAATGTGGGTTTTACACCTCTAGCTTGTAACTATTATTTTTCAGTCTTGGGGATTGACTTAGGGGTGCCCTACTATGGAGTTACATCCTTATTTATTTATTTATTGAGACAAGGGTATAACGTGTTGAAGTTGACCTTGAATTTGTGATCCTCCTACCTCAGTCTTCCAAATAGTTGGGATTACAAGTGTGTGTCACTGTGCCCAGCTTATTTCTTTTTGCGAGTGTGTAGAGGGATTGAACTCAGGGGCACTCGAGCACTGAGCCACATCCCCAGTCCTATTTTTGGGGTCTCATGAGTTGTTCAGTGCCTCACTTTTTGCTGAGGCTGGATTTGAATTTGAGATCCTCCTGTCTCAGCCTCCTGAGCCGCTGGGATTACAGGTGTGCACCACCACACCCATACCTAGCTTATTTCTTAACAACAACAAAAAAATTTTCAGGCATGGTGGCGCATGCCTGTAATCCCAGCTGCTTGAGAGGCTGAGGCAGGAGGATCACAAGTTCAAAGCCAGCCTCAGCAAAAGTGAGGTGCTAAGCAACTCAGTTAGACTCCATCTCTGAATAAAATACAAAATAGGGCTGGGGATATGGCTCAGTGGTCAGGTGCCCCTGAGTTCAACCCCCAGTACAAAAAAAAAAAAAAAAAATTTGGTAAAATGTATTAAATAAAATTACTATTTATAACCAGTTTTTTTTTTAAGTGTATCATTTCAGTGGCATTAAGTATATTTACATTGTTGTGCATCCATCACCATTATCTACTTCCAGAAATTTCTTCATCTATTCAAAGTAAAATCCCGTCCCCTTTAAATACTAACTCCCTATTCTCTCTTCTCCTAACTCCTGGGAAACTTTTCTTCTACCTCTGTATCTAGGAATTTATCAATTCCAGTTGTCTCAAACTAGTGGAATCTTACAGTATCTATCCTTTTGTTCCTAGCTTATTTCACTTAACAAAATGTTTTCCAGGTTCATCCATGTCACAGCATTTCATCCCTTTTTGTGGTTATATAATTTTCCATTATAGGTATATACCATCCCCACTGATGTGTTGTTTTGCTTTTTACAAGCAATAAACTAAAGATATAGCAGATTTGGACACATTCCTGACACCATCAATAAACCATGTCCTACTCAAGGCAGCACCTCAGCCAGCCCTAAGAAATAAGGAAGATACGTTTGTAGCATTACTATAAAAATGTGGAGATAAGATTCTATTGCCCTTTAGAATTCTAAGATAAATGCTGAATAAATTTTTCTATCTGGGGGCTGGAGATGTAGCTCCATGATAGAGTGCTTACCAAGCATGTGCAAAGTCCTTGGTTCAATCCCCAGTACCAAAAGAAAAAGAAAAAAAAAAAATCTACCTTGTCATTTTTTCACTAAATTCCAAAATAGTGAAGTACAAATTTAAACATATCTCACAATAGTCTGTTCTAGACTGCCAAGTTTTAAGTTTCAATTTTATCATGTAGATAAGAAAAGGCAGAAAAAACAACATGTTAATGAAAGTAAAAGAAGGAAGAAGAGGAGTCTAAAAACAAAGATGAGGGCTGGGGATGTGGCTCAAGCAGTAGCGCGCTCGCCTGGCATGCGTGCAGCCCGGGTTCGATCCTCAGCACTACATACAAACAAAGATGTTGTGTCCGCCAAAAACTAAAAAAATAAATATTAAAAAATTATCTCTCTCTCTCTCTCTCTCTTTAAAAAAAATAAAAATAAAAAAATAAAAACAAAGATGAGAACAAAGAGAAGCCCCTGGACAGGGGACCTCAGGAATGGTCTGGAGGGGCCCTGACATGGGCCCTACAGTCCCAGAAGACACTAGTGAAGGAGGGGTGTCAAGGATACTGTAGAGCTTTCGGTCCTTGGATTCAGAGCGCATGCGGCTCAGCTGCTGCTTGTGACAACGCAGACTCCAGGGGTTGTGGCTGATCTTCTCAGAACTCAGACCACTATTGCCATCTAGCATCTGGAAAGGGACGTCTGAGTGGCTGTGTAGTTCTACCTTCGGACTCTTTGCCTCCTGGGAACTAAAAAAAAAAACAAAAACAAAAAAACAAACAAAAAAAAACACCCAAAAAACAAAAAACACACACATACACATCACTATGGGACTCAGGCAAGTTATCTTTGAGGTCACAGGGTAGAGAAGAATTGTATCAGGCCTAACCTGCCATCCACAGACCCTGCTAACAGATGGCAGGGGGTCTCAGATATGTGTGGCAATAAAAGTGAGTAAATGATATGAGTAGTACTCTTCCTTATATCTCCCAAAAATAATTATTCACGTCAGATTATGTCATGAAGATACTATTTCATATCCACTAGGATAGGATACTATAATCAGAAGAAAAAATTTGAACAAGAGCTAATCAAGATGTGATGAAATTAAAACCCTATACATTGCAGGTACAAATGTATATGCAGCCAATGTGAAAAACAGTGGTGATTCCTCAAAAGGTTAAACATAAGTGGTGCATGCCTATAGTCCCAGTTACTAAGGAAGCTGAGGCAGGAGGATCACTTGAGCTCAGGAGTTTGAGACCAACCTGGGCATCAGAGCAAACACCATTTCAAAAAAACCCAAAAACAACAACAACAAAACACACACACACACACACACCCAAAAAACTGAACATAGGACTACATGACTAGATATATACCCAATTTTGTGCCTAGACATATACCCAAAAGAATTGAAAACATGGATTCAAACAGATACTTTATACCAATGTCCATAGAAGCATTAATCACAAAAAATTTTAAAAACATAGAAATAACTCACCAGTATCCATCAACAGATGAGCAGCTAAACAAAATTGCACATATATACAATGGAATATTATTCAGCTATAAAAAGGATTGAAATTATGATACATGCTAGATCATGGATAAACTTGAAAACATTTTGCTAACTGAAATAAGACAGACACAAAAGGACAGATATCATTTGATTCCACTTACATGAGGTAACTGCAAATTCATAAAAACACAAAGTTGAATAATAGTTTCTAAGGGTTAGGGAAGGAGGAATGAGAAGTCAGTTGCACAACACTGTGAATGTACTTAATGCCACTGAACTGTATACTCAAAAAGGTTAAAATGTTCATTTTATGACAATAAAAAATTAACAAAGTCAGGTATGGTAGTGCATGCCTAGAATGCTAGCTATTCAGGAGCTGAGGCAGGAAATTGCAAGTTTAAGGTCAGCCTGGGCAACTTAGCAAGACTCTATCTCAAAAACTAAAAGTAAAATAAAAGGGATGCAGTTACAGGTCAGTGGTAGAGCATTTACCCAGCATGCATAAGGCCCTGGGTTCAATCCCCAGTACACACACACACACACACCCCAAACAAAAACAAAACAAAACAAAAAACAAAAAACAAAAAAAGAGAGAGAAAAAGAAAGAAAACGTGATGAGGGTGCAGTTTCACACTAAGCAAACAGGGCGGACCATGGGCTGCCACTTTCATGGATGTGAATAACTGTCCTACCTTGGTCCAGAACATTTAGAAAAGCTTCCTATAATGGGATTTTAAAAAGCATATGCTGGCATTGTGCTTATGAATGATTGTCTATCTCTTCATGAGGCCTGGTAGCAGCACAGTGGTACATGCCTTTAATCCCAGTAGCTGGGAAAACTGAGGCAAGATCACAAATTCGAGCCTGTCCTGGGCAACTTAGTGAGACCCTGTCTTAAAATAAAAACTTAAAAACAAGGTTGGGTTTGTAGCTCAATAGTAGAATGCTTGTGGAGCAAGCATAGGGCCTGTGTAGGATCCCTAGTACCCCCCCCCCACCAAAAAAAAAAAAAGAGGAGGAGGTGGAGGAGGAAAACATCATCATAGGGAAAAAACAAACAAACAAACAAAGAAAAAACAAAAAAAGCAAGATATATTCTACTAGGAACAGGCCAGCAGGTGCCAAAGGTACCTGTGTTTCTCAGGGTAAGGTTTATGCCTGTGGAAAGCATCAAGCCTACAGAGAATTTTATTTCTAAAATAAATCAAACCACAAAAGTATTTTGGCAAGAAGGGACACCAATTGATGAAATTATACCACAATTTTATTATGTTCCAACATAAAAATCTTTGCTTTAAGTAAATGGCAGTACTGTTTTTCACACTGACAAGCCCAGAAAAACAAACCACTGGTAAAGCAATATGGCCTGGAAATTGGAGAGCAAGTCTGCAGCTTAGAACAGAAGTGGAGCACTGCAGCAATTTCAAATGCCAGTCTCCTCTTCAGAACTGCTGGCCTTTTCTCTCACTGGGCAAGGAGTTACACAGACTTAAGCTGACCAAAAGGATTACTGTATGCTGGAAATGTTGACCTTCTTCCCAGGGTCAAGAATTTGGGAAAGCTCTGCAACATTGGATAAGAGACCCTAATTCCTTTAACTGGAACTAGAGGAACCCATCTAGGCCTGACAAAACCCTCTACCTGTCAAAACCCTCATTTTCTTCTGCAGAGAGCACTGTTGAGGCCATTTACAGACACTTTTTTTTTTGTGATTCCCTTTGGGAAACCACAAGGGCAACTTATTTGTCAAATAAGTCCAATCAAATTTAGTGTCTGAGCAGGGCCTCTGTGGCACCTGGCATCACCCTTAGAGATGCAGCCCTAGCTCTGGTGAGGAAACAAGTTTCACCCCTGGAGTGACTGAGTGTCCACTAATAGGCCAAAACAAAAGTATGATCACTGCAGGTAGAGCCGTCACTTTCAGAGTAGGGCCTTGTTCCTGAACATGAACATAACTTAATGTGAGTCTATATTCACTGGCTTTTTACCAGATGACTCATGAAGTAAATTCTGTACTTTAAGAGGACAAAAAGAAAGGCCACTCTGGCCAGGCGTGGTGGTGCATGCCTATAATCCCAGCGGCTTAGGAGGCTGAGACAGGAAAATCCTAAATTCAAAGCCAGCCTCAGCAACTGCGAGACGCTACGCAACTCAGTGAGCCCCCGTCTCTAAATAAAATACAAAATGGGGTTGGGGATGGGGCTCAGTGGTCGGGAATTCAATCCCCGGCACCAAAAACAAAAAGAAAAAAGAAAGCCCACTCTGGGCTGGGATCATAGCTTAGTGGTAGAGCACTTGCCTAGCATGTGTGAGGCACTGGGTTTGATTTTCAGCACCACATATAAACAAACAAAGGTCCATTGATAACTAAATACATAATAAAAAATTTAAAAAAAGCAAGCCCACTCTAAAGAGCTTCTGGGAGAGAAACACCCATTGCCAGCTACAGACTTGGGGAACATTCCTTGTCATTGAGCAAATTATGTCCCAATTATCTAGTTAAGATGAAGTTCCTTAGGGAATGAAAAGAACACAGAAGTGCTTCCACAGGACAGAGTTAATCTGTCCACAGAATGTTCAACATATGGAGACAATGCTTACTTAAGAAGTGGATATGTAGCACTCTCCTTACATCACAGTTGCTGACCTGGCCAGAGAGAACCACTGACTGAGGGCGCAGGAAATGATTCATCACACACCCAGCCAGAGTCCTATTGGGTTTCTGTGCTTCCTCACATAAATGGGAACTATTCACAAGGTAAGTGAAGAGGGCTAGAATGTCCTAGGCCCTGAACAAAGTGCTGGGAGCTAGTGTGGACAGCAAGTGTTGGTGAATTGATCTGATGTCAGGGATGAACTACTGCCACATCTAAGAAAATTCCCAACTTTTTTTTCGTGTGCATGGTGCTAGGGACAGAACCAAGGGCAAGGTAAGAGCTCTACCATTGGGAAACAGTTCCAACCCCCAATTTCAACTTCTTTTTTTTTTTTTTTTTTAAGAGAGGAGGGAAGGAGAGGAAGGAGAAAAATTGTGTTTACGATTTATTT